GTTTAGTGTGAGGTGTCCCTGCCCATGGCAGGGGGGTTGAAACTAGATGATCTTAAGATCCTTTCCAACCCTAACTATTCTATGATTCTATGATTCTATTTTAGAGCAGGAATAAGGATGTACTCTCACCCCAAAGCAGAGCATTATGCATATTTAACTCATGTTTGGTTATACACATTATTATCAAGAGAGGAGAGAACATGCAACCCTTCAGAGGCTGCTCTGCTGAACAGACTGAAGTGGGTTACTGTCTTGGTACAACCTGATCGTACAACGTGATTCACTTGAGCTGAATGGTGCAGGTGTCACAAACCTGTATGTTAACAGAAAGTTTAAAAGCTGCACACTGCAGGATATTTATTCTCATTGGTATTTTCTTGGCAGATTATTTTCAAGAATCCTGAGTCAGCAGTAATAACTGTAGGTACAAATATTTGTTTACATGACACAGTAGCTTTGCCATGTTATTTACCTGTACTTCCCAAGCCAAAAAGTTTGTATATATATGACTAAATCTGGCGTTCCATGGCAAGCAAATATCCACTCGCCTCAAGTGTTTTCAGCTGTTATTATCGCTTTAACTCTTAGGTCCATAAGAACTAGATCATGTGGTAGCAAGGAATTCAAGGGTGAAGGGTTAATCATTGCACTGCAGCTTGGGGATTAACTTCACGTTAAAACCACGTGCGTGTGTATCCAAGTGACATAATGAAAAACGTGATGGGAGATGGAAGGTGCACTCATTCAAGCAAGCAAGGATTTATTGAACTAGTTCTTCAAGATCTTAGGAAAACTAACTGAACATTTCTCAGCCAGTGCTGTGGCTGCTCCCTCACTGATGTGGCTATCCCATAATTAACAAGGATTTTCATTAGCAGGCAGACAGAGGCTTTTTGTCTGTACTGGATTTTAGGGGCCTTGGTGATCATTCTGTACTGGTATGGTGTCTGAAATGTGCAAAAGCCCAGGAAAGGAAAAATAAAACAGTCTAGAAAGAGAAAAAATGGAAATGCAGAGTGCCATTGAAGATCAGCAATTACCTGCCACTCAGGACAGTCCTTATGATCAGTGCCACAGACTATGAAGCTTTGCATCAGTGTGAAAGAGCCAAGTTCATGCATGCTGTCCTAATAAGTTACTGGTATGAGAAAATATTTCCCACTTCTTGGAAAAAACATGAAAGTTCATTTTTTCCATCCTTATGTGGCTATGTGCAGGCTGACACTGAGGACAGTTTAACAGCATTCAGCAGCACCTGCAGGCCCAATGAATAACTGGTGCCACCAAAAACAGAGCGAGGAGAGGGAGGCAGGAGTTCTGATACACAGAATACAGCCTGTGGGACTTCTCAAGGAAACACGATTCATAGCTCACCCTTAAGGAAGTGCAGTAGGAGGTTAAATCCCTGCAGGATATCAGTTCTACACCTCAGCCAAACTCCATCTCTCCAGCAGCAGTGACTTTAACCAGCTGGCTGGACAGCACTGGCAGAAGAGAAAGTACAACCTCCACGCTTGTGAGTCAGCTCTGGAGATACTGTTGACTTATTCACAGAGCTCTTGCTGAACAGGGACCCTTGGCTGGGAAGATACTGTCAGAGCAGATTGGTCTTACATTGTGAAAAAAGCAACAAAAGGGAAGGAGGGTCACACTCTCCAGTCCCATGTGCAACCCCATCTAAGACAAACATGACAGCATATATAATAAGAACAATCTGAAAAGTGGACTGCTAGCTGCTAGAGGAAGAAGAATGCAGTGGTTCAGGTCTGGAAACCTCAGATGAGGCTACTTGAGCTGTATGCCAACAGCTAAATCTGAGCCATTTTGTTTCCTAAAGTGTTTATTCTCCACCAAATTGAGTGGAAAGCCCAGCCACTCGGTGGCTTCAGGCCACTTGTACCAAAGCAGGTACAATGGAGACTAAGAAACAAGAGTCCTTGATCATGGACCACAGACCTGTTTTCTCATTTTTTTTTTAGCAGTTCTAGACAGTTGTTTGCTTTTCCTGAAACTTTGCAGCCCAGTGTTCCTGCACGTGGCCTCTCCTGTTCTGGTTTGCACGTATGCCTGTTTCAGTGTCATTTTTCTGGAGTGTGTGATTCAGGAGCAATGCATTTGCAGTGTAGTGGAAGGAACTGACGTGTCCTCATGATACTGTAAATGAGCAGCAGCAGTTCCTTTGAGTCCGAAACAGCTATAAAGATCTTTATCAGCTCTCTGAGTGGCTTGTAAATCATCACAAGCCCAGTGAATGGCGTATTACCTACCTCACTTCTGCAGTGAGTTATTTGAGTGATGGAATGTGAGAGCGCAACAGTGTGACTTAAGTTCATTCACTTCCCATAAAGCAAACCAGCACCAGGCTTGGTTGCCCTTGCAATTCACTGAAAAAAGAACTTTCCACCTTCAGCCACAGAACCAACCAACAACAGCCAAATGCCATTAGGCATGGGTCATTTAGTATGGTACGGGTGGAAAAGCCTTTGTTGTACTAAAATCACAAGCTTTGTAGTGCAGGTGGGAGTGAGAACTAGCTGCTAGTTAATGATTTATACATAAGGAAACCGGTTCAGTCTATTTTGTACTAACACTATTTGTTAAGGAGACAAGTTTATTTTGCAGAGCTAAGCCAAATTCTGTCCATAGCCTCATGTTCCATGTACAAACCCCTGCCTTCAGTGATCCATGTTGTACCTCTAAGATCCAGGGCAACTGGGAGAGGAGAGTGGCACCATATCAGGCTGCGAGGAGAGCTCATCTCCTAGGATCCTCCAGGAATGCTTCCAAGGCTGCAGCATGCAGCTTTATAAACCCTCCCATACATCCTACTCCAAAAGCATGCTCCTACTGGGCAAAGCATGGCTGGTGCTTGGAGGAATGAGGCAAGGGAGCCATCCCCACTGTCAAAAGCAACGACCTGCTACAAACCTTTGGTGAGTTGCAGTGGAAAGAAATACCTCAGATACATCAAGCTCCTGGTACAGATAAAGTAGTATTACACAAAATGTTAATTTGAGCCTTATCATGTATAAATGCAGAAGGAAATGAAGGTAAAATACACACACACCCCTCCGAGTATGGGCAAGTTTACAACAAAAACTTTCAAAGAAAATTAGCTTCCTGAGAATTCACTGTATTTTGCTTTTAAGTTTTCTCTGCCACTCTATGTATGTTACTAGCGTTCATGATCAATAGATGTACCAGTATCACTGATCCTCATTCAGCTTGTTTTGCGAAGAGGTTATATAATTCTGGCATGAATGCTTGTAGTGATCCTATATGATCACCATTAAACCAGGCAACAATCAAAATAAACTAGAATTCAATTATGATTTTTGTTAGCAATGTATTTTTTATTTAAAAAAAGCTTTAAAATAGTCCCTACTGGCATATTCAATGTAAATTGTTCACAAGTTGTAAAACAATACTAGAATTAAAAGCTCATTTTCTGCTACAAATGAAGTAATGCTTATTGGTTAAGGGGGCAGGACGAGGGACATCGAAACCATCCATTTTAAGTTACAGTATTCCTCTTCCAAAAGGAATGAAGATAGATACAAAATATAACATGCTTATTAATCTGTACAGCCTGCAATTAAGACTTCAGGAAATTACTGCTTAAGCAAAAGCAGAATTTCTGTGGAGCATCTGTTGAGCTGGGCAGCAAGTTCTTCTCCCTGCACCTATACCGGGTGCAGAAGAAACTGTTGGTATAAGGTAGTTCTGTATGTCCTGTACCTTAAATTGTACTTACAGGCTTCTGGTGTTCAGTGCATCTCATTAGGTGACAGGCTGGCCAGGGCAGTGCGATTTTATTGAAAGCTGATGCTGCATTCAAACACATGAATGCTGCCCTCCTTTTTTTCTATTGAAGTGACTCCTAGCACTTTTCTGTCTTTCAAAGGCCTCAGCAAAGCTAAAACATTTTGTACAGCAAGAGAGAGACTTGTCTCAGAGATCCTGCACAATGAGAACGTTCCTTAGAACTTTTACATTATACTGGTTTGTACTTCCCTTGCCTCTGCCCCTTCTCAGGCCCATCCGTCAGCCAGCAATTGTGTCTAAATCCTGGTAAGGATCAACTGTGTTTATCTTGCCAATGGGAGACAGGGATGCTGGAGGCCAAGGAGTGAATTCTTCCTTTTCCAGGGAAGGGATATCTTCATATCCAGTGTGGGGTATCTTCATTCCAGAGCTACTTACAGGCTACAGGAGTACTTATCTTTCTAAGGAGATAACATCATTTTTTATGTTTTTGTTTTCTAATTGATTATTTTTGTCCCTATCAGTGACATCATAACCAAAGCACTGAATATTAACTAATGAGCAAGCTCTTTTTTAATTAACTTTCTGGTTCAACTGCAATTTTATGCCTCAATGATTCTTTTTTTTTTTCATGTATGGGAATGACTTCACAGTGGTGTGAACCAAATGCTGTCACTTAGACCGCTGTGACTCACACCAGATCAGACTGGGTAATTAAGTGAGCACAGCTCTGGGGAATGGCAGAGGGATAGGATAGATCTTGCTCCAGGTAGTATGCATGTGGTAGGCAACAGCTCAGTCCAGTAATTTTGAATTTTTCATAAATGTATAAACACAGTGACAGATTTTATACACATTATGAAGTGAAACTCACTTGACATCATTAAAAAGTAAATGAAGACATCTATCCTTCAGCTGAGGACATGTCTTTATGAGTTTAGTGCGTTCATCACTGATATGGGGTGCAGACTTGCACTGAGAGGTGTTTCTGATCCCTGCAGCAGCCTTGGGATCTCTGTAGAGTAACTGCTGTTGTTTTGGAAGGGGGCAGTTTTTCTGTCCCCTTCCCCTACCTGAATGGCATCAGGTGGCAGTATTTTTAAATGATGAACTAGATTCAGATTCCCTTGGAGATACTGATTTGAATAACAAATCTTTGTTTGGATTTTACATAATCTACAAAATGAGGTTACTGACCAAAATGTTTCTTAAACCCAGCAATTTCTTATGAATACAAGAGAAGTCTGCTGCTGGACTTCTAAATTGTGTTTGCATTTTGTGTAGGCAGCCAAGAAATGCTGTATGTTTTGAGGATTTTTGTCAAAAGTAACCTTTGCAGCTATGATTTCACACATGTAACACAGAACATTTGTAGCAAGTTGTTGATGAGCAATCTCCAGACTTAGGTCCCAGTACTGAAAGCCACATGCACATGCATTACTTTGAACACTTCAGAATCTCAAGGAAGTCGGCACAATCCCTTATAGGTTATAGGGAGGAACAATTTCTATGAACATTGCATGGGCCATGACTCTGCAAAGGCCTGGGTATAGCTTGATATTTTAACAATATATGGAGCCAAGAGCCTGGGTTGGCCTTTGAAGAACAGGGATGAGGAATCATTCATGGAAGCACATCAATGAATGGCTTGAAATACCAGAGGAAAGTTTGAAGTGTCAAAGATGCCTCAGGAAATCATGAAGTACCCAAAGACAGTGCCCACAGAGAAAGAGATACTGCAATCGTAGTACTGTTTATTTACTGGAAACAATCTTTCAGCTCTACTGTAAAAATGATATGTATCTGCTTATGTTTACACCATTGACACTGAGATTCAAGACCTCAAAAAAACTGGGCTAAGTCCAGACCCAATGTAAGGTGGTAAGCAATCACTGAGTTCAGCATAGTGGTGACATTTCACTTTTTGATTGTGCCAAATACTCTGTAAAGTGGGAAAACCTCATCCAAGGTGTCCAGAGCCCAAGGGTGTATTGCATAAGCTTGATCATATCAGGCTTCTTAAAAAGCCTTGATACTATCAAGCCAGCATGATACAGATGCAATTTCAGGAGAAAAGTGATTCATCAGGAACTACAAGAGCATCTATCACCTTCAAATTTGGGGGGTTATGTTCGTTTTTAATCCTCTTCATGAAGTCAAACCCTGCCAGCAGGCTGGGCAATCCCTTCAGCCCTAATATTTTGCTGTGAGGGTGCCTACCATCATTGCAGAGGGAGGGAGCTTCAAAAGCATCAGGTGGGTCAAAAGAAGCACCTCTGTTTCCAGTGAAACATCTGAAGAGCTTGTTGTACAGATGGTGGGTGCAGAGGAACCTGGCAGGGAAATAACAGACCTGCTTTGGCTATAAGAAAAGCAGCTGAGGTCAGTCAGAGCTTAGAAGAGGCATATAGCCTCCAGCTGATCTCCAAAAAGTGTGACAAGGTCTCCAAAAAAATTATTATAGTGCCAGAGAAGTGAAGCTCACTCAGCGTGTGCTTGCAGTACATGATCATAATGAGATCACTTGTTTGGGACAAACTCAAAAGGGAGAATGAGTCACTTCTGGGATACAGGAAGGAATTGAAGGAGATTGGACATTTCAGGAACTTTTGTTTGCTGAAGTGTTTCCTGAAGATCCCTTGCTATAGAACTACATTCCTCAATTCTTACATAAAGATTACTGCATCATTATTCACTTGCTGGTGTAAAAGTGTATCTGCCTTGCACCAAAACTCTCCCTCTTGTGAATTCATCAACATCAGAGTAGTTACACAGGGGAGTCAGTTTGGCCAATGGAAGCCACTAGAGGGACCTCAGAAGTCTGAAGAGCTGGAGTAGGTGAGGTTTTCACTTCTGTTACGCACACTTATAAACATCAGATGCACTCTGCGCTGAAAACAGGTAAGGAAATCCTCTGCAGAATCAGAGGCATCCCCACACAAATACCTCTGGATCCTATGGCACTGACCCGTCAGCCTCAGTCTTCATGACTAGCACCTGCTTTGGGGTTGAGCTATTCAGAATTGGTTCAAAGACTTAAAACAACAAAATGTGACACCTGCACTCATATCAGATGAGGAAATAGAATTTGCTTGTTGTGTGTTATCTTACAACTCTGACTTCCAAATGCAGAGCCACACTACCACAACTAGTTTTAGCTTATGTAAATTCTCCTTGCATACACATACAGGAACAGTTGTTTACACACACATAGGGAAGACCCTAAGGATACTTCTGATCTTTCTGTTAAAGAGCAGCAGAGTCATACAAAGGGTGAGGGGTTTGTCCATCCAGGATAGAGATTTATTTTAACAATAGTGCCTGTCAGGTTTGAACATACTGTTATTTATTTATGATTTATTTTAACATCTTTATTCTATGACATTTTAATTGGATCTAATACATCTACACGCTATGGAAGATATTCAGTAGCATATTCTGTGATTAAGCCAAATTGGAGAACTTGAATGACGACTACATTTGGTGATGGTAGGTGATCAGCTACTCAAAGAAGCTTCAATATTCTCAACAAAGTTGTTGTCAGAGAAGCACAAGTTGACAAGCTATCCCGTGGGATCCAGCAAACTCCCAGGTGAAACAATATTTTTTTGTCTGTGTCAAAACATCTTAACCCCCTAAAAATATCTGGAAGTCAAATAGACCAGATAATAGGACCCATTCAGGCTCTACAGCACTGGATCATTCATCTCTTGCCATTATTCTCCATCTGGCACCTAACCTGACTAGCATGAATCACTTGGTTCATTTATCAGAATAGATTATCTTTTCCTCACTGTGATCCGTATCAAAATGACCGAATGACTGTCATTTCTGCTTTTGTTTACTTTTATTCCAATTATTGCATTGGCAATAGGTGCTGCACAAACACACAGTGAGAGCCAGTCTTTCTTCTGAGGACCTTCATTTAAACAGACATGACAGCCAACAGGGAGGAGAGGCACAGAGCTGTCCAATCTCAGCTCAGCCAGGGCATGGCTCTGCCACCCCAAGTGAGGAGCGCGTAAGATCAGAGCTGGAGGGAAGCCACATGTATCCAGACAGGGGTCAAGGCCCTCATCTTGTGCCAGCCAGAATATTGTCTATTAACTATATGTTAAAACCCTTTGTGTCAGAAAATCCTCTGCAATAGGTTAGAATAAATAATCATTTTCTGGACCTGGAATTCTGTCTACTTTTATGGAGGCCTGGCGTCAAAGGAGGACATAAATGTATACAGGAGTTGCAAGTTCGCATTTTTAGCTTTCAAGCTGTATAAAACTGACATGCATATCCCTATTTTCTTTTCCTTTTTTTTTTAATTTGACGAGAATTGCTGTACTATACAAGTCTGCGATGGTCTATTGGAAACAGACCCCGGACTAGGAAATGGAGAGTTTAGATATTATAAACTGCTAGTAATTTATTATTTTGAGATTGGCATATATTTTGGCAAAGTTAAAGTTGGCTGGAGTGATAGTGAGTGATGAAAGATGTTATGGCATTTGAGAAGTGGCTGAATTCCTTTGTTTCCAGACTTTTCACTTTTTTTTAAGGCACGGAATGTTTATATAGAAAGTGTGAAGTTTTATGAGTACTTGCTGGACCCTGCTAAAACCAAGTGTTCAAGCTTTACTCTCTTAACAAAGTGTTTTGTTATGGAATTCCTCTGGGGTTTGATGTTTCTAAATTAGGGTTAAATCAGGCTGGTATGTGGAGGCCATGGGAGAACAGCCCAGAAGTGAGAAACTGTCTGATGCCTAACAGGGTGTGCTTCATCTCCAGGGGGTGATGTGATGGCAGGAAGAAGAGGACTTCTCAACTGAGCATGAGGAAACCTTAGCATAGGGGAGAAAATGGGCCTTTAAAGTGCTGGGAAAACTTTCAGCATGTGAAGAGTTCAACATCTTTAATGTAAGAGACCCTGCCTGACCCTTGCCTCCTCTCTGGGCCACCAGAGCCTGCTTGTTTCCCATGTCTCACTTCCATCATCTGGGACACATGAGTACTTTTGGTTAGCCCCATGGTTATAAAATAACATTCCTCTTTTCTGCTCATCTCTACTTTCCCCTCCAAGACTGTGGTATATGATGAGCCATGATACACTCAAGAAACACATTCTTGTTTCTGATATTTCTGTCCACATTTCCTCTACATGTATCTCCTCCAAGTTGGCTACTCACAAAACTCATTGGCTTCCTGCCCTCAGTTTGCCTGTTAAACCTTGGAGCCTGTCTCCAGCCCTTTTGTTTTTACAATAAAGGACAGCCTGCATACAGAGCTGTAAGCCACAAGATCCCAGGACATTATGGCAGCATGGAGACAACTTTAAACCATGAAGAAATAGAAGCTGCTAAAACACACTCAACTCAATGTTTCATTGTTGTCAGTCATCACATCAGGGCTCCCCTCAAACTGAGTACAAGTAAAAAGAGCAGAGTCTCTGATAAAGCTAGGGAAAACCAGCTCCAGACGAACTCGCAAAGCTTATTAGGAGTAAGAGTTAGTTTTCTGATTGTGTAATGCAGTCTGTGCTGTGACAACTTTCTGAGTCTGTATTCTCCAATTTAATAGTCCACTTTAACGAAGACCTCACATAATGCTTCCACTCTGCTCCTGCCTGCTTGCATTGTAATCTTCATAAACTTCTTTTACCAAGTAGCATTATGCAATTCCAGCTCCCCAAAAGACAATGCAAAGGTTCTTTCCTGCCATGGCAATGCTAGAGGGCAAATAAGGCAAGAAGTAAAGTAGCAAGGGGAAAAGCAGAAGAGCTTGTTTCAGAGAAATGTAAGAACCAGGCATATGAACCCTCATCCCTACTAAAATAAAAGACCAAACCGCCAGTGGCTTCAACAAGATGAGCATTGTATCTCCAAACTATACAATTTTTATTTAGTTTTTTTTCAAACTCCTGAACATATATATAGATTTAGCTTAGCACTGTGAGGCCTCAGCTGGAATACTTTTCACAGTTTTGGGCACTGCACTTCAAGAAAGATATGAACCAACTGGAGAGAATCCAGATGAGAGCAACATGAATGATCAAAGGTCCAGAAAATGTGATGTATGAGGAAAGACCAAAAGAATTGGTTTTGTTTAGACTAGAGAGGAACAGTCTGAGGGGAGACATGACAACAGCCTTTAGACACGTTAAAGACTACGGCAAAGGGGAAGATAAACTGTTCTCTGTTTCTACTGGAAGTAGGCTAAAAAGCAATGGATTTAAGTTACAATAGCAGAGATTCAGATTAGACTTTAGAAGAAACTTTCTATTGGTTACAGCAGTTATACCTGAGAAGACATTGCCTGCGGAAACTGTGGGATCCCTTCATTCGAGGTCTGGGTACTTGTATACCGGGGTCTGCTCTGTGGCAGAGGCATGAACGGTAAGACTGGTCCAAGTCCTTTTCAGTTTATTCTCCCCAGTGTTAGGAATGCAGGAGGGAGACTGCACATGAACATAACAATTTTTTCTGAAGGAATTTGGACCGCCTGACCTGAGTGGTCTTTGAACAGGAGATTAGTTGTAACCTCAACTACAAAGTTAGTATTGCTGCCTTATAACCATTACAAACTGTCTGCAACTACCAAACTCAGGAAAATAGGAAAATAAAGTTCTGGGGTTTATCTGCTCTAAAGATCCTGGACACTGTTCTGGCAGTGAAGGCCTACATTAAAAAGCCTGGGTGAAAATAAGCATAGCATCCTTAATATTATAAAACATACCATCCAGTGATTTCTATGAACTCTGTTATATATGGAAAGATTTAATACAGGAAGGAACCCAAACATGTGACACCTTGCTAGAAAATAGAAGATTACATAGTAAAACATGTATTTTGGAATGAATTTACAATGAGTTTTAACTATAAAATGGAATCAAAGAAAAAACAGGAGAAACTAAGACAAATGCAGGGTGAATTGAGACAAAGTGCCTGACTGATAATTCCAGCGATAATTGGGAATGTAAATTAGCACTTCTGAGATCCCTTGTTTCATTAAGTGACTTTTTGTTTCTTTTTTGTGCTTTTTTGTCTGCTTTCCATTTATAATAATAATAAGAATAAACAGCAAGATTGCAAAAGCCAGCTTTTTCCTCAGTTTCTTTGGTGCTTTTTGCCAAGCAGCCTTGGAGCTACAAAGGTTCACAATCTTTGAAATATAAGACTCATACCCTAGAAGTGTTTACAATGGAAAGAAGACTCCTTAAAATGTATGACCACATAGAGAATCATATGGGATCTGCTGACAATACATCTTCAGATGTCTACAGCCTGGTAGGGGCTGTGCAGGAAGAGGCCTCACTCCTCAGACAGGCACAGGTCACGGGTCTGTAGAAGTACTGATTTGTTTTGGAGCTGCTATACGTACTGGCTTCTGAGGAGAGTTTTGCAGGGGAAGAACTGTCTCTTATTTTAATGTTTTCAGAGCATGAACTCAGGGTTTAGAAGGAGTATTGTGATACGTATATCCTCAGCCGGATGACAGAGCTTCCTCTGAAGTTGATGACAGTGTTAACAGTGATCATTTCCAAGTCCAACTCAACAGTACGGGGGCCCTTCACAGGGCGAGTCATCACCAGAGTAGCACTGATTGGTCCTGTTTGCTGTGCACAAAACAAGAGAAAGCAGGTAAGATTGCCTATTATTTGCCTATTATTTGGGAAGATATTATTTTGTTTGGTGCAAAGAACATTATTATTTTGAAGCAGTGAACACCAAGAAGGGGTTATGTTAACAGATCTCAAAGAACAGATGTTCCTATGTGAACAGGATCAGGGTTTGTTATATAATTGCATATATTAACATCACAAAACCTTACCCTCTGAAGAGAGCTTTAAGTATGTGAAAGCAGTTCAGAAAAATCTGTCTGTAGTAAGTGGAAGCAGACCTTTGAAATATTTGGCCAGAACAGTGGATTATGAACATTTAAGAATCAGAGCTTCTGATGTTAAGATCAAGTGCATTATTTTTTTATTTTTCTGGCAAAAACTTATGTACATAAAGAGTTATCTGTTTTATCACTAAACTGAGCAGTTTGTGTTATCTCTGATCAGAGAAGCCCAACAAAGCTGCGGGGAGCTGGACGGCCCCTGGTGCCTCAGCCGCCGGGCGCAGGGTCCGGGTTTTTGCCCTTGCCCCGCCTTTCCCTTTTCCCAAAGCAACGAAGCAACGACTGGGCACCACCTGCCGGCTACGACCTGAGTGGAGAATGAAGCTGCTGCCAGGGAAGGGGTAGCTTGTGCCAACGGAGTGGCTTAGGTGACAAATAAACGGTGGTGTGATAAATGAAGAAAAGAAAACAAGCAACTTGAGCACTGATACTGATGGCTGGAGCCTTAGTATCTGGTGGGTCAACCCAGATGAATGGGAAAGGTTGGTGGCATCAGTAATGGCTTTGCAACAGGAAAGCTCTTGTGAGATGTAAATGATCATTCTGGGACCACTTGTCATTCCAGTATTTTGAAACATTTTCCTTTTTTTACAGTGAGAATCTGAGGCTCTTGTGAGAAATTGGAATCTATCACACTGTTGGTTTCTGTGGGCAACGGGAACTATCAATAGCTGCTGAATATTACTTAATGTGAATGTCAAAGGCAGGTTTTGCCTAGGGTTAAAAATCAACCTTTTGAATGTCACCATCCCTGGTGCCTCTGCCTCATTCTGTGCAGATGCTTCCCGTCGTCCCTACATATCAGAGGTGCAGTAAACATGACTGGAGAACAGAAATGTCTTCTGAGGAAAATTCAGATTAAAGAAAAAAGTAGTTATGTATTCCTCTAACCATAAATACACAAAATCTGTATACTCTGTGAAAAAAAATACATAACAAATGAAAGAAAAGAACACAGAAAATCAATTACTGAGATAAAGGCTGAGGTTTGGTGGGGGTTTTTTGTTTGGTTGGTTTTTTTTGTTTGGTTGTTTTTTTACTTTGTGATTTTTATTTTTTCCCAATTTCCAATGAAGAGTTTAATACAGCAAACAAGAAACGTTGACTCAGTGACAGTTACTGATTGTCCATCAAATATAAAAGGTTTGGCACATAGTTTCTCTTGAGCATGGGAGCCCTGAGCTATTCTTAGACATGGGTAAAGCCCTGGATTTTCCTGAAACTAATGTCTCATTAAAAAATATGTTTGCTTTGAGTCAGTTATGTTCCTGAAAGAGCCAGCAGCGTCTGCAGATCAACTCACTCTTTGCATGTCTACATGTGAAAATATTTCATACTCAGTCTTTAAATGATATTCATTAAAAGTATGTTCTGCTATGAGGATATTCAGTTAACTCAGTGTTTTCTCTCAGTGAGCACCAGACTTACCCGCATGTAGAATTCCCTGCCCTCATTCCCTGATTTGATTTGGAATATGTAATAAGCTCCAGGGTAGCGAGTTGTTGCTTGCATCTGAAAAATGTCAGAAGGCACAGACCGCCCGGACACCATGTCCATCACTCTGTACAAGATGGTGAATGGCTGATCTCTGCAACCGGTGTTTTCAGCTGGACACATGCAGCGGCTAATTGTTAGAGATAGGATTGTCATCAGAAGTTACAAACTGCTGTAATATTTGATTCTTTAATGCAAATACAGCTGCTTAAATAAATAAACAAATCATATTGTTGACCAGAAAAAAAAGAATCAGTGAAACTTGTAATGCATTTTCTCACTTTTTGTATTCTCTGTGTTGCTATTCCGACCCACCTCTATCCCTGCCTTATCCTTCTTGTCTTCTAGGCCGAAATATCTTGGCATCCTTTGTCTCCTTAGAAACAACATTCGCTTTCTTATTCATCAGCTTGTCCAGCTTCCCCTTACATCCACATGAATGTTTGCCATATACAGCCAGGAGCTCCACAGCCCCCCTTCACCTCTCTGCACTGCCCCTTGCTGGCTTTGATGCTTAAAGCTTTTCTATTGAAAGGAGGGCAGCCAGACAACCCCTGCTCATTCTCCTCATACAACTCAGGGTTTCATATTTGACCCTGCTCGTGGCTGTAGAGTCTTAACAAGGAAGCTATTTCATACTTCTGATCATCCTCACTGCTCTTCATGAACTTTTGTCCAGTTATATTTCTTTTGAGAGGAAGAGAAGGAACTGCACAAGTCTTGAAGATGTGGGTACACAATGGCGTGTGCTCTAAGGACATTATCTACCTATTAACAGCTCAAATTAAGATTGCCTTTCAGATCATTAGGTAAGTATTGCAGATCATAGAAATATCTATGACAACCCTCAAATCTCAGTTTGGGTAGATTATGATCAGCACCTTTTATTTAATTTGGGGTTGCATTCATTTACACTGAATTTCATCTGCTACTGTTATTGCACAGTCATTAAGGCTCCTTCTGCACGTCTTTTTTGACCACCACTTTTCTCTACTGTCCTCAGGTAGTCCTGCAGACTTTGCCCATCTTATGATTTATCCTTGCTTACAAATGTTTAGCAAAGTAGGTCCAGCTCAAACTCCTGCAGAACTTCACCGTGAAAGTTGACAACCTAACACTGTATTTACTTTTTCTTTTTTAACCTCTTATTCTTTTTGCCGGGGACTTCTCACTTCTTTATTGCTGCTTAATCTCCGTAAGATTATGTGAGGTGCTCTGAAACCAAGGAGACTGTATCAGCCCATGTGCCCTAGCCACATGCTGCTGATTTCTTCAGAAAACTCTAGTAAAGTTGTGAGGCAGGATGTCACGTTATAAAGGCCATGCTGGGGAATTTACTGGAAGAGAGTTTTGTCTTTTTGCTTATTTTTTCTATTACTTCCACTACTGACACCAGTTTAAGACAGTTCATCTGGCATGATCACCGTAAAAAGGCTCCTGGCATTACAAACACCCAATTCCTTCCACAGAAAACACAGATGCAAGGAATTCACATGGCTTTTATACTGACCACTTCTAGACAGATGCCACAAATTAAACGCTGTCACATCTAGGCACCAGCCAAGGCCATGAAATACAAAGCTCAGAGATCAAGAGTTCTAATGCAAGCTGATCTGTGAGGACTCTATAGTTGGGCTCTGGGGAGTTTAGGTCATAAGACTGCAGCATATAGAATGTTTTTTAGTTGGAAGGGACCTTAAAGATCACCTAATTCCAACCCCCCCTGCCACAGGCAGGAACATCTTCCACTAGACCAGGTTACTTAAGGCTCCGTCCAACCTGGCAACCTATATACAGAGATTTCAGATTTTTAAAAATCCAGTTCAGATCATAGAATCATAAAATAGTTAGGGTTGGAAAGGACCTTAAGATCATCTAGTTCCAACCCTCAAACACTGTGGGTGAAATACTATGGGCAAAATACTATGGGCTGCAATATACAGACATCTGTCTGGAGCTGAAATATTTTGAGCCCCAGAAAAACATCTACAAAAATGTAAAAGAAACAGGCAATTTTTGGAAATGTGGGGTTTATTTTTTGCTTGCTCAAATAATTCCAAATTTAGACAGTAACAGTGCTAACAGCCTACCCTGACATACTAGATTTCTGCACAAGGCAAATCAGTCTGAACTTTTTAGCATCTCTAACCTTTAAGCACTAGGAAACTAACTGTATTCTGCTATAACTGTCATCTAATGTTTTAAATTACTTCCCAGACATAAGCTAGTTCGTATTTACAGGAAATATTCATACTAATAAACAGGCTGAATTTGAGCATATATGAAGTCAGTAATATAAGTAAATGTCTTATTACATTACAAACCTTGCTGTTTTCTCTACTCCCTGATAAGTATTATTCCAGTCTAACTTCCCACACATCTGAGTATCATATCATATCATATCATATCATATCATATCATATCATATCATATCATATCATCAATCATATCATATCATATCCTACCTGGTGATCTGGTAAAGAACTGCAATTTCTTATATTTACAAAGCTTACCAATGGTAAATGCAGCAACAGCATGTACACATAGGTTTCTAGACCCATTTCATGGCTGTGTTATGAAAATGTAGCCTGTTTGGTTCACTCTAGATATATTTCACACAGAGAGAATTTGCTTTTGCGGCTGTGGGTAAGTTACTCACTTCTCATTAATCTGGATATAAGGATCCTCACATCGTACTGGGTCTAAACATTTATATTCTCCTGGGATATTGAAACATGTTTGCTGTGGAGTGCAGGTGAAATTTCTGGTTTCACATTCATTGATATCTAAAACACCAGAAACAAGAGAAAGGATAAATCAGCAAAATACACGCAAGACACCACTCTTACAAGCCAGTTTCCATCTTAAGGGGTTGCCCCAATATTCGTAACACTCTTGCACCATGAGAAGTGGCCTTTTGTTAACTGGCCCCTGTTTTAAGATCAGTTTTTACTCCATTCATTTCTGCTGTTGGAGTGCTCCCATATGCTGACCACTGCAAAAATAGGAAAGAAATTGGCTGCTCAAGGTCTCTGACCTTAGAGAATGGGAAAACTAAAGAGAGACGTGCAGCAGAGAGGAATGCATCTGAGGGCTTTCCCATGTAGCTGTTTCCTAGTCAGTGAAGTCTTACACCAACAAACCAATTCACCTCAGCGGGACTATTCACGTGATGACATTCTTACCAGAATTACATAATTGGCCCCTACGAGTATTTCACTGCGCAGTGCCAAGACAAAGCATCTCAAGTCTTGAAAACCTTTCCAGACACAGAACTATTTTCTGATCCCCTTAGGTTTTAATCAGTGCAGGAATGTTCTTACCTTGGCAACTTCTGTTATCATCAAGCAAGTTATAGCCCGAAGGACAGATACAGTAGTAAGAACCAGGCCCATTCACACATTCATGCTGGCAGAGGAACTCTGAGAAGCTGCATTCGTCCATGTCTGCAGTGGTAAAACAAAATTTACTGTCTTTGGCTTTATAGTCAAAGGAGCAGTCCCACAGGCAGGTGGCCATCCAGACTAGTTGCCCATCACCTCAGCTGGAGGTTGGCAGCCTCCAACTCCCTACAGCTTTGGAGCAGCCTAGCAAAACGCTATACAACAAGTTCATGGTTAAACACTTTTTTCCTCAGGAAATCAAAACTGCTGCTGAACACAATGCATTTTATTTATTTATTTTTGTTTTCGAATACCTGTCAGCAGTTGGCCAGGTTTTCAGTTATGTTTTACGTCAGAGATAGAGCCACTCCAACAACAAAGCTGCAACTGTAATTTGAAAGGAGAGACTTGGCAATGGTTTTCTTTGCTTTCTTTCCCCCTCTTTTTTTCTGGACAGCAAACTTCCCTTTCCCAGGGCCACATGGGTCCCAGCAGAAGTCCTGCAGCCAGCCCCGGCTGTTCTATATTTCTTAGCCTCTAGCCAGTTACTTCCAAGGCATTCCAGCAAGACTACAGAGCTCATCCCTGCTTGGGCCAGACCTACTGGAAGGCTCAGCCATCTCCCAGATACCCAGGAAGCTAAGCAGTCTGTCAAATCTTTGATTGAAAGCAGCAATTGTGCTCTTTTCCCCTTGCACTCATTAATTGAGCAGTCATTTTAGTCTGCAGAACTGTGCTTAAGTGAGAAATAGGAACTTCAGAGCTGCACATGGCTGACTGAAGGGAAAACACATGCAAAGGCACTAGACTGAGGGAGGCTGCAGTTAATCATTTCCTTATTTCCCTGTTCAGGGGAAGAAAGAAACAAAGGCCAAAGCCCCAGCCAGGAACTCCCAAGTTCTTATTCCCAGCTCTAACATGTTGACTCTCCCAGGCAAATCACTTTTACTCTTCAGACTGAATTTCCCTTTCTTCTAAATTGGGCTCAGTCCATTTATCCACTTTCAGTGTTTTGTGCAGATGGATTGGAAAGTATTTGAAGTACAAATATGTTAAAGCGGCTTTATGGCTGTAGCCACATTATCAAAAGACAGATGAAAGGAATTCTACACCTGCATAGTCCTGTTATTGTGCGACTTGGCCCAGTGAGCTTGCTGATAAAAACCCACCTTACTAACAAAACATTAAGTGAGGGCTGACTCCATAAAGGGATGGAGATACCACCCACCCCCTCCAGGTGTCCAAGCCCACACCTCCAGCACATCAAATTCATATAACCTGGGCTCAGCTGGAGGTGCTGGAGGGACTTAAAGCCCCAGGAGTCCTACATCTCTGCCACTGAGCCCACACAGGGCAGACACACCTTTACTGTCCCTAAACACTTTTGGCATTCTGCTGACTCCCTGCAGAGGACAAGATGGTAGGCATTTCAGAGCACATCCAATGCACGTGCAAGACCCCTGTGACTAGAAAATACTGCCAGTGTTGTGACAGCCAGCTTGAAATCTCTGCCTCTCCCCTTCAACTGGGCAGGGCTACCTCCCACCTTCAAGCTAACCTAGCTGCTGTGGAGTAATCCAGCAGCTGTTGAAGTACATCTGAATCCAAGATGCCTCATAGGAGTGTCCTCCTATGCCTCCTAAGCCATTCCCTTTGTGAGCACCAGCAACGTCTAGTGATTGCTTGTGAAGTGAAAGAAGCTCATCCAGAAAAATTTGACCTGCTTTGACGAGCATTTTCTTGCACAAAATGGTCAAGCAGATGTTTTCTGCTCTAAATCTGGATGGTGGAAAGTCCCTTTTGCTATCTTAACTCTCAGACACGAATGAGACTCAAGCACCACCTCTTCTGTTAGCATTTTGCACTGGCAGTGTTCATGTTCCATTGCATTGATCTTCACTCATTCAGGTCCCCAGCTAGCTCAGGAGCACATAAAATGATGCAGGAGTCTAACTTAGAAGGAGAAACTCAATTAGAAAGCAGAAAACTCAAGTTGGGTGTTGCAGCTCTAAATGTTAAATTTAGAAGACCCTGTAGAGATTTAACTCTTGGTTCTTTCCCTTATAATAAGGATGCTTGCAGGGAAAAAACACTTTAGAAACACTAATCTACACACATACTGCATATTACATGTCCTTCTCTCTCAGAAATGGCATGTTACATCTGTTTACTGTAAATTAAAAACCCAAGTATTTTCCAGTGTGCTTTTCCTTCCAAAGAAATATTGGCTGAATTCTCTTATTTTATCAGGCTGTGGGAACATTAAGCTAAGAAATAAGTTTTGCCTTCAATTAAAATAAAGCAATACAAAAACAAGGAAGAAAAAGTACAGTGACATGAGCACAGTTTCTTCTGCTATGTGATGAACAGATTAGCAATAGCTGTACTGAGAAAATATACATGTTTCTGAAGCGTAGCCAGAGGAATACAGGACTTCTGAGGGAGTTTTCAGGCAGAAGTGTGCAGTCATAAGAGCAAGAGAAATACAACAGACAAATGGAAAAGTGGTTTATACAAAGCATTTAATCATGGAAGAATGTTCTTAGACTATCCCTTTACTTGCTCTAATAAATTTTCCTGTTCAGCATTACAAAGCATTTTCTTATGCCTTGCTGTTATCTTGGAGCTTTTTAATATGTAGCTTATTTCTTTAAAACCTTTTACAGCCCTCCTCTGTTGTGCTTTTCTGGGTTATTTGATGTGTGCTTAAACTAGAAAGATCATAAGAGTTGCAGCAGTCCTGGTGCTAACCATGGACCAAGGTAAAAAAGCATGTACAAAACAGTACACTGGAAAAAGAAAACTTCACAGAATTAAAGAAACCAAAACAATAAATAACTAAAGATAGTTACCACTGCAGTTAACTCCATCAGCTTCCAGTTCATAGCCAGGTTCACAACGGCAAAGAAAAGAGCCATAGGTATTGACGCAGGTCTGAGTGCAAGGGTTTTCACTTGTACATTCGTTCACATCTACGGAAAAACAATGCCCAATGTATCACTGACTTCACCCCAAACTCTATTTTTAACTCATTACTGTAAAAATTTCAAAGAGATTAGCTGTACAGTCAGAATGATTTGTTCTGAAAAAATACAACCAAGTCAGCATTGTTTATTAGAATTCAGGCTGAGGACTGGAAATAGCATGTTGGAAAAACAACATGCATGGAAATGAGGCATTTTGGGAATGCATTCAATAAAAAAAAAATGGAAGATGTGGATGAAATATTTATTACAAATGCTTCTGCCTTTATCCTGCAATTTTAAAGCCATTGAACTGATTTGTCATAACAGACCTAAGAAAAAATGCAGCAGGATATTCCTGAGGAAGGTAATGCAATAAGGCACAGTCCTCAAGGAAACCTAGGACTAACACAAAACTTTTTTTTTTTTTTTTCCTTATTTTAGGACATGAGCAGCTTCTCATTAGCAGTTCATCATTAGCAGAGACCATTTCCCACAGCATGTGGGAAGATGCTCCTTGCTTAGCTAGGGACAGGCTTTACAAAGAAGTTGTGTTGACTTCCAGAGAAGGGAAATGAAACTGGTGAAGGACCTAGAGGACATGGCTTATGAGGAGTGGCTGAGAGAACTGGGGTTGTTTAATCTGATGAAGAGAAGACTCAGGGAGGGCCTTACCACTCTACAACTACCTGACAGGAGGATGGAGCAAGGAAATTGCTAATCTCTTCTCCCAAGTAATGAGTGATTGGTCAAGAGGTAAAAGCCTCAAGCCACATCAGGGGAGATTTAGATTGTGTATTAAGAAAAATTTCTTCACCAAAAGGGTGGTCAGGCATTGGAACAGGCTGCCCAGGGAAGTGGTGGAATCACCATTCATGGAAGTGTTCAAAACCCGTGTAGATGAGGCATGGTTTAGTGGTCAGTCCTGGGGTAGAGGCTGGATGTGATGATGTTAAAAGGTCTTTTCCAACCCAGTTGATACTATGATTCTGTGATAAATTCTATGACTTTGGTTGAGGTAGCATATCACAGCAAAAGGTAGTCCAATGCTCAGGACCCAAATCTGGAACTTGGGAGACTCAGATCTAATTTACTGATCTGACAGATTTTCCCTGTCTCAGATGGGTCACATAGCCTCAGATTTTAGATATGAAATCAGTGCTTAAACTCTTGGTAATTTCACTGAATCAAGTAATTCTAGATTTTATGGGGTTTGTGTCTCTGTGCGTATTTCTCTCCATATTGCATGTGTACCCCTGTGAGGTACTGTGAAGCTGCAGAAATATCTCAGGCTGACAAACATTAACGTTTTCAAAACAGTGCTAGGAAGGTTACTTGTATTCTAAAACATAAGCAAGTTTTAAGGGAGCTGCTGGGCTGGGACCAAAGATTTCAGTCATTCACCATACCTTGGCATGATCTTCCATCATCGTTAAGGGTAAAACCTGGGTTGCACGTACAGGAGTAGGAACCGGGTACATTGGCACATAGCTGCTGGCAGTAGCCATAGCGACATTCATCTATATCTATAGATGGGAAAGATGAAAAGTAGAGTTGCCTGCATTTTCACATGCAGGTACAAAGCAGCAAACACACCGAGTCAACAGTACCAATAACACAGAAATAACCCAGCGTACTGGTTAGGGATATAACAGCCAAACTTTCAGATGTTCAGACCTAGAGTCAGTTAAAATACGTCTCAACCCAGAAGAATCTAGTAATGTTTTTTTATCCACAGCTGACATCTATTAGTATGTCCCATGAACTGACTGTCATTGCTGTAATTTTGTCTTAATGTGATACCACACAGAAGCCAAGAATCAGTCCCCTTAAGCAGCCACCTTGAAGCATACCCGACAGCTAGCACAGGCCATCAGCACAAGCACAGCCAACATTGTAGCAAAGTTTTGTCAGAAGCAAGGTAGATAGAAATCTTTTTTACCTCTACAAATATCAAAGCTACTCACTAGGAAAGCAGTATTTGTTACTAAATACTGTTTTTTTTAGAGAGGATATTCTTTAAGGCTTTTTTCCAAATAGTCACATTTGTATTTTATATTCATTTTTAACAGACAAGTTACAGCCTCTAAAATGTAAACAGTACATTTAATGCCAAAATAGCAGTTTGGGCTGAATTGCAGCATTAGCAATACATGGAACTAATACTTAAAAGCACAAGAAAATGGTATAAGATATGTGTGATGGTAAATGCTAGGAGAATTTAGCCCCTGGACTAAGAATTGGAATGAAACACCTGAACCAGCTGACCTTTCCAAAGCTTTATATTTCCTTTGGTATCAGTTGGCTTTTGATTTATGGAGATTTTTTTAAATGGTTACTCTCAAAGCTTTGAAGTCAACTTTGTGGAGTAGAAAAACAAGTGTGGTCAGATAGCAAGATAACCTAAAGTCCAGGGTCAGGTATGGTATGTAGACCAGCAGAAGCTTGGTCTAAATCCTGAAAAAAGTAATATGGGGTTTTAAGTAATTAATATCTCATTCATTAATACCATAGATTACACAAAATACATACTTTGGCTTTTGCAGGACTGTTATCTCAAGAGTTCTACATTTTGAGGATAAGGACTTTTACACAGCTGCTTTTGTGGGTGGGTTGTGTGGATACTGCTGTAGATACCAGGATAATTACAACTGATAGAAGTGTAGTTTTTTGTAACTGGGGTTTACTAACAGTGCACCAAAAAAGTCTGTCTCTAAAACCTCTGATTACAGTAAATGGTCTCCTACGCCAGCAAAAGTCACTTCTCCAAAGGCAGTGGAAAGCAGGGAAAACTGAGAATTTTCTGACACTTAGGGAAAAACACAGCAACTGTAAACACAATTTGCTTTTAGCTCTTTGCATTGTCTTGTAATAATCTCACATGATTGTTTAAAGTGAGCAGCACTGGGGTATTATTTCTCATTTTAAATAGCATAAGCGGATACCCGAATCAATTCAGCAATACAGCCATTTCAGTTCTCTGGTATATCCATCAAGCAGTAAAGTACTTTAGACCGACATCTAAATCCTGAATTGCTGTACACAACCCTTTTGTTTAGGCTGTAACTGGGAGAACCAAATGGGTAACAAAACTGGTGATGCAAAGCAGAATCCCGCTCCCTGCCCTCCCTCATCTCCACTCCATCACATACACCTGCACAATTGGAACAAGCTTTTCTTCCCCCAGAGAAGAAGAATTATCAGAGATTAAGAAGCAAGGGACTTGGAGATTTAATATCCCAAGAGAACTACAACAGAGTGACTCCCCAAAAGTGGCTATGGCTGCACAGACCCTGGCTCAGATGAGGCTCGGCTCTGTCCCTGCCAGATTAGCTACACAGCAGCTGTTTGCAGTAGTTGGGAAAGCAGCCGTGAGTCAGTCCTTCACTGGAATTGGTACTTGAGAGGAGAAAGTTGGAAAATAACTGGAGAGGATCCAGGGATGAATGGGAAAGGAAAGCCCATTCTCCTTCCAGCAGAGGCATTGTGGCAGGAGAGTCCAGCTCCGCAGAGCTGGCAAGCAAACAGTCCGTGCCATGGGGAAAGATACATTAATGAGCAAACATTACCAAAAAATGTTGTATCCTATCTCCTAGGTCCTGTCTGTGTACCTAAAATTAACATCTACTTCATCATCACATGGGCTTGTCAAGTGAGGGGAATGGGCTGGAGGAAAGGGGAGCTGGAAGGTTTTCCTGTGCTGTTGTTGAGGGATGGCTTTTTTTTTTAACAGGTCTGAGCTAAAAGTATGAACAGGACATTGCTGCAAGGAATATAATAAAATCGAAATAAAACTGGTTGGAAGCTACCAAAACAGCACCCAGCTCAGAGGTATTTCTCACCTGAAAGCAAAAGATTTGGTTGGTTGAATCTAGGGATTTACTGGTCTGTTTCTTGGTATCAGATACTGATTCCTATGGGTCCATTGTCACAATGTGGAAAGGGGATGTGTGTTGGAGAATAAGTCTCTTTGTGTACATGCTTATGATGGATTTTATATGAAAGGGAATCCTTCAGACTGGGAATATGAAAATCCCACATGTTAGATGGATGCTAGTCATATGGCATTTACATCTACATTTTTGTTCCACAAGGCAGTCTCTGCCAAGCATACCATTGGCACTTACAAAGATGACAGTTTCCATGTAGCCGAAGGTTTAACTGTGTACTTGACAGAGATGCTCAGTGCCATGATTTCAGCTATTCATAGGTACACATGCAAAGATGTTCAAACAGCATATCACATGAGGTTTTTACCTAAACACTGGCCTTCTAACAGCCAGTAGCCTTCAGTGCAGGAACAGGTATAGCCCCCCTCAGTATTAATGCAGATCTGGGTGGGGTTACATTGGTGAGAATCTGAAGCGCATTCATCCACATCTGCAACACAGAAATACAGCAAGAAAATGTTAGAAATGGCAACAGCAGAAGACTGTGCACACTGTAAAAGGGCTTGCATTCACAATGTGTACACTGGCTCCATGCGACGAACCAAAGTGTGGTGGAGCAGAAAGAACGCCCATGACCTGAAGCAAAACTCATAGTGATAAATATCTGAGGGAGGTGAGAACTTAGAGTGCTCACCAAATCTCTCCCTCTTGCAGATGTCTCAGTGTTTCCCAGAGCTCCTCAAGAGAGGGATCGCATTACCTTGAGCTTTTTATTACTTCCACACCGAACTTTCTCGCTGAACTGAGATTTCCACGCTACATGGCAGCGTTCAGCCCTAGGGAAAGGCTGCTGAAAGAGCTATATAACCCCACTGTGGAGTTAGAGATGAATGGGAATTCGAGAGATGTACAAGCACAACTCAGACATATAAAAATAATTATTTCCTGCCCTTACCAGTGCAGATTATCTCACTGTAATTTTTCTGACAGAAAGTTCAACCAAAATCAACCTTCACCTGAGGAAAAAAAAAACACCCCACACTTCCCTGGAATCAATTTCCTGACAATAAAACTCTTTTCTTTTTAATTTTTTTTTAACCATCTTTAATATTTGTAACGTATTTGGGTTTTATTACAATGCCTCAAGGTGGTTTGTTGTGGGCTTCTGTTTTATTTTTTTCTTTCCTTTTCTTTTTTCTTTTGCAGGGGAGGTGAATAGCATTCCTACATTTATATAAGTCAGGACCCTGGAACCTAACTGATTAAAAATGCCTTTCAGAGTCAGAAGTTCAATTTGAATCCCTCCTTGCTCAGTCTCTTCCCTGATGTTTCTGGCATCGGGTTTGCCTCTAGATGTCAGAAATGGAAATATCAAAAGATAAATTGTGTCATTTTTTCAGCCAACTCAGATTTCTATGTTTTATTTATTGATACCTAAACTATTTTTTATTCCAGCATACTGTGCACTGGCCTTTGCTGAAGTACTGTGCTGCTTCCTTGACCACCCCATCACCACACACCACCACTCTCTCCCATTCTTATTAACACAGACTTTGGTGGATCACGACTGAAAGTATCTCACAAATGTGCTGGGCTGGAGTAGGCAGCAGAGGGCAGGAATTGCCTCTCAATATCTGCCCTGAGGCACCTAGCACAGTCAGACAGCTTTAAGTCCCCAGCAGTCTTAAAATAACTGAGCCAATCCACCACAGCAGTGTATCTAACATGTTCACATACATAAATAAATACAGATATATCATATATATGGAAAGAGTTCTTATCTTGCCAACATCTGTACCAGAACAATTTATGGTGAGTCAAAGCTGGTAAGATAACAAGACTGGGACAATTAGAGGTAATTAACTCTGTCAGAAATCGGTTCCCATGTGTTTATTGGCCAGACGAAGGTTGGCAAACCAGTGGGGAAGTGGGGGTAAGATAACAAGTCTAGACTATGCAGTTATATAGATATGCTATTTAGTTCAGCTATTGCTTCTGCAATTGGGCTAAAAATTCTGGATCCTTCCTTCACACAGCATATAACATAATTGGTAGTATTTGAACACAGATTTTATCTAACCATAAATTTAATAAAAATGACATTATTTTCTCCTAAATGAAAAATCTTTCTGTTTGTCATGTTTGCTTATTGTTTTAGGAGTTTGACCTTGGGATCTGGCCAATTCTGCTGTTTCTAACCTACCCCAAGCTTAAAAAGGAGGTTTTAATTTTCCATGCTCCCTGCTTCCGAGAGTATTAACAGATGAAGCATAGTGGAGACAGAATGAAGGTTAGGATCTTACCACCACATATGGTAGCAATGATGTTTGAAGACTAAAGATCCTCTACTGCTCTGTGGTATATCTTTCTTGCAGGGGTACAACATGCGTCCTTCATCAAAAGTAATGGCTGGCTAAGGGATCAGCTTTGTTCCTGAGCCGTCTTTGTAGCAGTTGCATAAGCAGCAGTAAAATCACTCCAGAAAAGTAAAACATAGATCATCTTTCCTTTGCTATCTACGAATCAAATTTCTCTGCTTACTCCCAGTCTTCAGCTTCTGTAGTGGTATTGGAGATGTACTTCCATTTGAATGCAAAATTTTTTACAACAGGGCTACCTGAAGGGTTTCTGCTGTCCCTAGAAAACCTGATCAACCTGAAGTTCTCTATGTAAAACACCTTGATTCCCACACTTTACAGTGAACAGTGTGTCACTGTTGCTCAATGCAACCAACAGGTACAAACCGCTTTACTGGTAGCATCAAATCTTTTTGTTTGGGCCTGAGTGCACACACCGAGTTCTATATTACCAGTCTCTGTCTTTCTCTAAGATTGCCCCTTACCATGATGTCCCATTAAACTCTGACAGACTCAGCCAATGCAACCAAAAAATATATTGGTACAACAGTTGGTTAACCATTAGGTATCATACTGAAGAATATCAGAACTGGGAGACAGAGAGAACATTGCCCAGCTCATTTACACAGTTCAGCATACAGTAAATCTGGTGTAGCTGATAGAGTCAAAGCTAGACATTTGACAGGGAAAGGAAAAAACCAAAACCCAGATTATTTCCACTGAAGAGAAAACTAGTTACAAAACTTAGAGAGATTGCCTATAATGGATTCACTATACTTACGTGCCAGCATAGAAACTATATCAAAACACTCTCAGGGCATTTTTTGTTGAGTGGAAAATTGCAAGTGGAAACAACCTGACAGCTAGTCAATAATATGTAAATCATTTCTTATTGTGATTGCACAGATTATTTCTGTCCCATTTGAACATAAATCTTAGGTGTGATAATGCTCTGGTAATATCACTTCAAAGTTCATTTGCACCGCCTCTGCCCTTGTGATGGGGGGGACACACACAATACTAGTGTAAGACTGTGATGCTAAATGTACATGATACTAGATTGTCATCAGTTTTGTATGTTCAAAGCAGATAAGACAAATACAGGTAATAAAAAAAAATGTAAGAACTACTCAATGCAAGGATTAGAACATGTGGCAAAGCAGCCCCTGAGATGCAGTTCTCTGAAGCCTGGAAGAGTGTATCTGACCCAGCATAACTGGAGTTGGAGTCTTCACCATAGGAAGAAATACCACAATGAGATGTCAGCCCCAGAGTAAAGTCTAACAAGCTGGAGAGTAGAATAGTTACTAAAGCAAAGCAAGCTAGCAAGAAAACCTAGAAACCCCACTGCCCCCCGTTCAGGGTGCAAATAGGTTGTGATATTTGGTGATTTTAACATCAGTACCATGAAAGCATCAGATGATGTCACCCATCACTGATGAGTTCATTATACTGAACCTGCTTTTAGTACCTTTTATAGCCAAGATCCTTAGAAAACATATTACCTTTATCCCAAGAGCAAGTCTAGATTTTGCTAACAGCTAGCTTTATTGAATACCTCTTCTGTGATTTTGGCTAGATTACTCAGTATGTGGCTACAAAAATTGCCATGAGGTCAACTAGGACACAATTATGAAGTAGATGTGTCCTCAGTGAAAACAGACTAAAGGATCTGGTAGTTACTATGCAGGACAAAGAACCAGAACAGCAGCAGTGACCACATTGTATCTTAAGTGCTGAGAATTTACTCTGTGGGAACTCATACTTTCACTTCATCTTCCACTTCCCTTGCTTCCTATTTGAAAAATGAGGATAACAGAATCTCTGTTTGTAGTCAAGCCTACCTCACTGTTTAGCATCTAAAACTATTCATGGCAGGGCCTGTCCTATAAAGAGAGAGCTCACAATTAGCCCATTTTTATTTGAAGCCTTCCAATCCTTATGCAAATCAAACTGTACTACAAAACCCTGCAATGTCCCATTTGCTGGTAAATATCAGTGTCCCTGGATTTTAACAAGGAAATTCAAGGCTAAGAAATTAAAGGACTAGTCTGAAATCACTCAACAATACAGAAGCAAGAACAAGTCACAGCTGTTTCTGACTTGCAGTCTTTCATGTATCCCCTATTATATGATCACTTAAAAATGTGACTTTTTCAGGAATTTTGTGCAGCCTCTACATTGGCTATTGATATCTAAAGTAAAGATTAATGATCATTCTGAAAGCCTTATGTTCTACTAGGAGACCTCAGTGCCATCAAAGGCTCTTTCAGCTAAACTCTATGCTACTCCCAATGTTAATGGTTTACCCTAATGGTGCATCGAATCTCAGTTTCCAGAGGTTACTGAAACAGAAAGAGAATTATTGACGCTGCCAGTGGCAAATTGAAAATGTTATCTAGCTACCACACTTCTTACCTCTAGAGACAGAACTGGGACTGTTGCTGTGAAATTACATACGAAACTAAGAGGATGTTTAAGATCATCATATCTAATCGTTTTGTGTGAGTCCAAATTTTCCCAAGTGACTCTGAGTGACTCCTTAGAGGTTCCTGACTTTGAGAGCGCTGTTGTTCAGCACTTAAACCACATTAGAGAACCAAGGCAGGGCAGGATGGATCACTGTTCAAAACTTCTCTTGTCAAAGAGTCCATGGCCAGCGCTGGCCCTGGATATCTTGGCTCTTGATTATGCTGTGTGATGTCAAATCAGCAGTCATCTACTTTCAGACATCCATCCTTCCAGTCGCTGCGTTCACATTACTGCTCCCACAGCTAGTTCCAAAGGCAGAAGTTCAGGCAGAAGTCCAGTCTGAAATTAAAATTTTACCTGAAGTGGGAACAATTCTCTTTGTTACTTCTCAAAGGAATGCAGAGATAACCACACAGCCCATCCAGACCTCTGCTCTCTGCCTCCTAAGAAATGGCACCTAGAATGAATGCAGAGCCTCATGGTTGATGTCATGAGTTTTAAAGATCATTGGTTTACTGGCTGAATGAGAGAATAGGTATGTGTTATCTCCATATACATCTGCCAGGAAGCCCTTGCTGCAAGAGCCTGAGCCTGAATACACCAAAATTAACCACATCCCCCTCTCTTAGTTCAGTGCATCTGCCTTAAAAATTTATGGCTG